AAAATATTCATGGATTGTCTTTACCAAGTGATTTTTCCTTTTCCCTTGACCCTGTTGTATACCCCACATTTTCCTTTTTCCCTAAACAATTGTATACCCCACATTTTCCCTTTTCCCTAAACAATTATATGCATTAAAATTATAAGCCAGTACGCAATTCTTTGGTGCCGTCTCACCTTAATTTGCCCCAAGGGAATATATATATAGAACCTCCGCGAACCCCACTCGTCCCACCCAGGGTGGTTCCGTGTGCTGGGTCGCGACAGTGCCATCTGGGTGTAGAGACACAGAACCCATCTGGATCTCTGGAGTGACAGGGGGATGCCAAGAATTGTCTGTATTGGGAGGCTGAGGTGAGCTTAACAGGGGACAAGTGGCAAAAGCACCACACTGTAACTGGCCCAGAGGCCCCCTGTATCCTCTGTATGGACTGCCTCAAGAGAGGGTAGTTTAAGGACCCAAAGGAGTACTGATGTGCTCTTGGTGTAGCCACTTTGAACACCGAGAAGATCAAACAGCTATCTACCCTGCCTGGCCTCTCAAAAGATCCCTTCATTGTGGGATTGCTGCGGGTTGAAGAACAGCAGGTGTCAATTTCTACCACGACAGTGCACTGGCGGCAATACCACACAGAGACTTCCCGGCTCCCATCCATGAACTGATTAATCAACTGGAGAGCCAAAGAGTCATCAGCAAGACTCACTCAGCTTTTAAGAGTCCCATATGGCCACTGAGTGCTGTGGTACCAGACATGCTGGAGCTTCAATATGAACTGAAGTCGAAGGAAGCTACGTGGTACACTACAACTGACATTGCCTATGTATTTTTCTTAGTTCCTTTGTCAGTGAAGTGCAGGTCTCAGTTTCCTTTCACATGGAGGGATGTCCAATACACCTGGAACTGACAGCCTTACCATTTGTCATGGACTAATCCAAACTGCACTGGAAAAAGGTGATGACCCTGAACATTTACAATATATCAATGACATCATCGTGTGGGGCAACAAGGCAGAAGTGTTTGAGAAGGGAAAAATGGTAGTTCATATTCTTCTGAGAGCTGGCTTCACCATACAGAAAAGCAAGGTCAAGGGACATGCACAGGAGACTCAGGAATAAAATGGCAGGATGGACGCTTTCATGTGCTTATGGTAGTCAACAAGATAGCAGCTATGTCTTCACCATCTAACAAGAAGGAAGCTTTCCTAGGCCTTGTGGGCTTATGGAGAATGCATATTTCAGGTTATAGTCAGCTTGTGAGCCTTCTCTATCAAGTAACTCAAAAGAACTATTTTGAGTGGGGCCCTGGGCAACAACAAGTCTTTGAGCATATCAAACAGGAGATAGCTCGTGCAGTAGCTTTTGGGCCTCTCTGGACAGGACCAGCTGTGCAAAATGTACTCTACACTGCAGCTGGGGAGCATGGTCTCACCTGGAGCCTCCGGCAGAAAACATCAGGAGAATCCTGAGGTCGACCATTAGGGCTTTGGAGCCGGGGGTATTGAGGATCAGAATCCCACTACACCCTGACTGAAAAAGAGATACTAGCAGCCTATAAGGGGGTTAGAGCCACTTCAGAAGTTGCTGGTACAGAAGCACATCACCTCTTAGCACCGTGATTGCCTGTGTTACCTTGGAGGTTCAAATGAAATGTTCCCACTACATATCACGCAACCAGCACTACATAGAGTAAGTGGATAGCACCGATCATTAAATGAGCTCGACTGGGGAAATCCAGCCATCCAGGAATTCTGGAAGAGGTCATGGACTGGTCAGAAGGCAGAGATTTCGGAGTGCTGCCTGAGGAGGTGGTTCGTGCCCAGGAGGCACCAGAATATAATGAGTTATCAGAAGATGAAAGGCATTATGCTTTGTTTACTGATGGATCCTGTGGTGTGGTAGGAAACCATCAGAAGTGGAAAGCTGCTGTGTGGAGTCCCACACGACAAGTCATTTAGGCTGCCTAGGGAGGTGAACCAAATCAGTTTGCAGAAGTGAAAGCATTCCAATTAGCCCTAGAGATTGCTGAACGAGAAAAGTGGCCAGTATTCTACCTCTACACTGACTCCCGGATGGCGGCTAATGCCCTATGGGGATGGCTCCAGCAGTGGAAGAAGAACAACTGGCAGCACAGGGGTAAACCCATCTGGGTCACTGCACTGTGGCAGGACATAGCTGCCCAGATAGAAAACATAGCCCTAAAGGTAGGTCATGCAGATGCTCACATGCCGAAAAGCTGTGCCACGGAAGAACACTGAAAAAACAAACAGGTGGACAAGGCTACCAAAACTGAAGTAGGGGAAGTAAGGGTAAACTATCTGTAGCTCAATGAAACATCAGGACATCTAGGGAGAGATGCAACATGCAGATGAGCTTGTGATCAAGGGGTGGACCTGACCATGGAGGCCAGGTCACTCAAGAATGTGAAACATGTGCTGCAATCAAGTGAGCCACATGAGCAAAATCTCCCTGGAAGAAAGAGCGGTGGCTGGGTTTTCGATATGGTGAGGCCTGGCAAACTGACTATACGGGATCACTGCCATGCACATGCCAAGGCAAGTGCTACATATTCACCATGGTGGAAGGAAATACTAGTAGGCTAGAAACACACCCTTTAAACCACACCACTGCCCAAAACACCATCTTAGGCCTTGAAAGGCAAATATAGTGGCGACCTGGTACTCCTAAAAGTATTGAATTGGAGAATGGTTCACATTTTTGAAATAACCTTATAAACTCCCGGACAAAGAAACATGACATTGAGTGGGTGCATCATATCCCCTATCACTCACAAGCTTCTGAAAAGACTGAGAGATATAATGGACTTTTAAAGACTATGTAAAGAGCATTGGGCAATGGGGCATGGAAGCACTGGGATACAAATTTAGAAGAAGCCACTTCGCTGGTTAACACCAGAGCATCTGCTAACCGTCCTGGTCCTGCCCAAACAAAACCCCTGCATACTGTGGGAGGAGATAAGATACCCCAAGTGCACACAGGGAAATGGCTGCGGAACGCGGTGTGGGTTTCTCCTCCCGTGGGAAAAGGCAAACCCACTTGTGGGATTGTCTTTGCTCAAGGACGTCAGCTCACATAAATAAATATGAGCAATAAAAAGCTAAAAGAAAGGAGGAGGAAGGGGGCATCCGTTAATATGATGTTTGTCTCCCAGAGCAACTGCTATGCGTACTGAAGCCCTGCTTCCCAGGAAGTGGCCAGGCATCGCTTGCTGATGGGAAGCAGAGAATAAAATCTTTGTTTTCCTTTGCTTCCTGAGTGGCCTTGTCTTTCTGCTTTATTAAACCGCCTTTATTTTGACCCACAAATTTTTCCATCTTATTTTCTTCCCCTTTGTTCTGCTGAGGAGGGGAGTGATAGAGCAGCCTAGTGGGCACCTAGTGTCCAGCCAAGGTTAACCCACCACAATACAAAATGTGTTCGGTGGCCCAACAAACATTTGGGAGGTTGCCTGTGTCACAACAATTTTCAAATTGTTACTTTTGCTCAACCATGCCTTTCCACAGCACAACTTACGAACAAGTTACATTTACACATATATCATAAAAAAGTTTTGTATATGGTCTACCTGCTACAAATTAAGGCATCCTAACAGCTGCTGTTTTGCTGGTGAGGGATATGTCTCATATTAGTGTTTCAAAAGGATAGATCTCAGGTATTTCAAAGTGAGACATCATAAGATGTGGTTTAGAGGAAGAATTCCTGCAGATCTGGCTCTTCAGTACTCTTTTGACTGTCAGATTTCTGGCTTTTCCTAGTGATGTCATCATGCCTGGAGAGAAAAAGAAGAAAATTACTCATGATAACACTAAAAATAAGGAGCAATCTGCCTTGTGTCTGCTTACCCTGTTTTATTCCATTTGCAAGTATTGAACTCTGAATTAATCCTTCTCTCTGGACTTATTTCTCTAGACTTGTACTACACAAAATACTTTTTAACGCTATGGATTCTTATTGACTTTCTTGTGGCTCCTATTCTGAAATCAGAATTGGAAACCAATGGGACAACAAGGAGCTTTTAAAGTCATGGCATTAAATAGTACACTGTCATAATGTTCTTGTAATAGTGGGCAGAATGTCCAAAAAGTCCTCATCCTTTAGGACAAGGTACCATAGTGATAAAAAAATCCACTGAAACAAACATTAGGCATATCCTGTTTGTTTCTGAATCTACCTGTAAGAGAATCATCTAGTCCCTATCTCCCCATTAATAATCATCAGAGAGAAAAGAATCAGAAGGTGATTCATTGTACTTACTTTATGTGTCTACTTTAGTAGAAGATGGTGGCAAAGGCCATAGGAAAAATGGCAAGCAGTAATTCTCTTTCTGACACAGGGCCTATATCTCTTTTAACACTGTAATTCAGATAAAGTCTCAATTCAAATCATTAAGATTTTATCAGGTAAGCAGATAAGGATAATTCTATATTGTGTCTTAATTTCCACGCTAGGTAAACTTAAATTGAAAAAAACAAAATCTATGTACTGTGTATGAGACCCAAATGACAGCTTGCCAATTAAACTAGAAAAATTAAACACTAAATATTTGTAGCATTCAGTTTCTTCAGTTCCCTTCATGTGTCCTTGTTCTGAATCCACAGTATGCTCTCCCTCTCTTGAATTAACCTTCCAGACGAAGGATTTTTGACGCAGCATCCAGCCCAACAGCAAATTTCAAACAGGTTAAAAAGCTAATTTTTTGTTATTACTGCTGAACAGCAAAACTCCTACAATATAATCATGACTGGCTGTTTTGTTGCTGTAAAGGACAGATACTAGCAGGAGGTTAAAAGCCCACAGCAAAGGGCAAGAATATGCATATAAAAAGTTTGCCTTAAACTCACATATTTGTGAGCTCAATTCTTGTTAATGAGAATAGCTTTACTCCAGTCTACAGTCACCACAAAGATACAATATGCCCAAGAAACTGATATTTAGGATGCTAGGATAACCTTGTGGTTACTTCAGGATTTAACAGAAGCTGACCTTCCCAAGGACCACAGTTGTGGATCTGAATAAGAGGGCACGAAGGATCATTTTATTTTAAAATCCCCTACATTCATCTAAATTACTGTTGCCACATACCCAAAGCAAGAGCAAAAGACACAGATTTGAGCTAGGGGAGGCAGAATTTGTAAGGCTGTAAAAGAGGAGCACTTTTTGCCATCGCTACTTTTTGGCACCTAACATGCACTGCTGTTATCAACAGTATGTTTAGTGTTAACTGCGGAGCTTTTTTAAAGGATGCTTTCTAAGGCTAAGATAACTTGCATCAACCAACTACTGCATTAGCTTAGACTTGCAGTGCTGAAAGACCCTGTGTATGAGTCCCCCATGCAGAGGCTCACCAGGCACTTCAAAGACCCCATTTTGCAGCTCTACAGTTGCCCAGAGACCTTGAAGAAGATCATATTTAGCTAATGCAGATGTCTTTAGGTGACAATGCTGAACAGGCACGCCTTTTACAACTGTGCCTGCTGACCTGAAGGAAACGGATTGCCAATATTACTGATTACTAACCAAATTTCTAATATCTTCTGGTGCCCATGTCACCACAGAAATACTCAACGCTCCCTCACACAACAGGCACTGGTGCATGATCGTAACAGTTCACAACTGAAGAATTGTAAATTGTCCAGGACAAGGCCTAAATTACTTTCATATCAATTTCATGCTCTACTAGTTTGAATTTTAACTATTTTATTAGACATACAGATAAGCATCCATTTTCTAGGGTATATATTTGAAGTTGTAATTTATTCAGCTCTAGGTCTGGCAGTAGGATATCTGTTAGGTTAGATCCACTTACTATTTTAGCAGCTTGCCCGGTTTACTATCTGACAGAAACCTGATAGTAGATTCTGCTGATTGTCCCTGATGTATGAAGCAATTTTTGCTGTTGATAGCTGCAGCTAATACAGGGTTTCACATTGATATGGTGAGTTAGTGCTTACTTTAATGCACTGCAGATCTCAGATGATTTAAAGTGTGGGAAAGAACCATTCACTGGCATACACATAACATGGAAAAAACGACAAGCATTTGGTTGGAGTCCTAATACACAAGAAACTAGCCAATCCTTCCAAAAGGGGAAAAAATATCCCAACCCATCTTGCACATCTGAAATTTAGTCTAAGGCCTTAAGAAAAATAGGGTGTATCAAATTTTAAAAGGATAGTAGAAAACTTAATACAATCCTCTACTATTAAGCAGTGACCAATTTGAAAAAGTAAACTTCAAACCCTTGATGTACTTAGGTATTTTGAATGAAAAAATAAAACAAATGAAATAAACAGAAGCTGAAGAAAAAGAAGATGGAAACTGGTGGACAGGAATGTCATTTGACCGAAGGTAGATTTTAGATGACTTCCGATTTCAGATGATGCTAACAAAATCCCCTATATAAGGGTCTAGAGTTAAAATGGGTTTGGGACTGTGCCCAGAAACATAACCCCTCAACTGCCTACAAAGGTTTTAAACACCAAAGACTGCACTGTTTTCCAGAAACAGTCTTTTTCAAAATAGCTCTGAAATTATAATTACACAGGCTCCCCAGAGCATGCAGGGAAAATTCAGACAGTGTCTAGGGGCTTGTAGTGCATGTGATGCTGATGTTTCTACTATTTAAATTTCATAGGCTACAGGGCAGCATGCAGTGGACTAACGACAGGCACCCATTTTGCCATTCAAAAATCACAACACAGTAAAAGGCATCACAGAGGATGGCTTAAAAGCTCTGAGGGCCTTCAGGTCTGCATTCTGATTTCTGAAAATCACAATACATCTTCCAGTCTTGTGTGATTTTTGGAAATCTCATGCCACAGACTCTGGCACACAAGTTGCCTGCCTCTATCCTAATCTGTGAGTACAGTAACAACCTCCTCAAGCTGTGCCCCGAATGCACTGTTTCTTGCTTTCTCCTCTGGTTTTCCATAGGCCCACTGCCACAAAGGCAGCTTTAGG